TAAGCAAATTCTAATGCACCAATTCATTACAGTTCTGTGGGACTCAGGTTGTTGGGTTGCTGGCCCTGTAGCCTAGTGATGTAGGGAGCCGAATCCCATATAGCCAATCAAGGTTCAAATCCCAACTCCAGTAGGTTGAAAAAACTCCTGACATGTGTACATGCATTCCTCAAATCCCAACAGAATGGAGAGACAGAGGGGAAGGGATTATGGCATGACCACACCCTATGAAGGTCTACCTTCTCTCTCTCACTTTATTTATCTATCTGTCTGGCAAGTGTGTGCACCCTCTGGCAATTAAAAAAAAAAAGGTCTGTCCGTAACAGTTGACATTGATGCTCTTCATGTTGTAGTAAGCAAAGGGATTAGGGATACAAAATAGCATGTTCATGGTGATCTTTTTTTTTTTTCTTTTTTTTTTAGAGGTTTTTGCTATAGGGCGTGTGCACTTGCCAGAAAGACAGAGAGAGACAGAGAGAAAGCAAGAAGTCACTCCCCCGGGGGTTGGCCACACCGCAGTCTCTTCTCCATTCTCCTCTTGGGATCGTGGGCATGCATGCACACCCGTCCGGCGTGAGTTTAAGCCACCAAGTCCGGGACTCAAACTGGGGTCGACTACATGGGAGTCCAGTGACATAGCCATTACGCTAACTGCTGGTCTCTTGTGATCTTATTTTTGTAAAACTTCTCACAAGTACTTCCATGTTGTCTGTGCATGCAGGCTTTGTTTAGGAGAAAGTCTAGAAGGACTCATGAAAACCTTGACAATGGACACCTCAGGGAAGTAGATTTGCTGGATGATTTTGTTTCTATTTTTTTCCTTTATTCTGAATTTTTCTATAGTAAATATACTACCTTTTTAAAAAGAATTATTTATTATTACTGTTATTATTCAACTTGACCAAAGGGAGACAGAGAGAAAGAGAGAGAGAGAAAGCAAGGTCTGGGACTCGAACCGCAGTTAGCCATGTGGGAGCCCAGTGCCTTAGCCACCATGCCACCTGCCAGCCCCAGAAAATATACTACTTTTATGATTTAAAAATATTTAAAAACATTGTCTAACACAGATGCATAATAAATACAAAATGAAAAAAATAAGTTGCCTTTGTTGAGTTATCCCTTTACCTAAGGGGACTAAAGAATACATAACTTCTAAAGGATTGACTAGTTTGAAGACACTGGTACCCCATTCAGGGGCCTCAGATTACTTAATCCAGATCAGAATTAAACTGACCAGATTTCCAGTTATATCACTCTCAGGTAGATCTTCAAGGCTGGGCTGGGCAAGGTGATTAATATTAGCACCAGGTCTCAGACTTACAAAATGGAACTCCATAAAGTGAGCTTGAGATCTCTGGCATGGCATTTAAAACTACAAGTAGAGACTAGTTTTTATGAAGAAATAAGAACTCAAGATATAGTTTCTTGATACCTCACCTATTGTTCCTTGCTTAGCAACTTAGCCCTTGAAGTTTAAGCAGCAGCTAAAAGCAGAAAAATGGCTTGGTGAGGGAACCAGGTGCACTTCATTGTGCAGGCCGAGGGCTCTGTGGGCTGCAGCTCATCGTGCAGAAACTAGAACTTCATTTTCAAAGCTACATAAAGCCTGTGCCTTCTCCCAGGCCTCTCTTTTTCGGGTTTCATGGCTCTCTGTGGAAATGAGAGCCTGCATGATTGCAGAACATGAACGATCAGAGCAGAAAACTGTGAGGAGGCATTAGGATGCTCCCACAGGGTATAGCTCAGAGTGACGGAGCACACTGTGCCAGGCAGCTCTCTGGCACCTTGATTCTCCCAGCCTCAGCTTTTCAGGAGCTGCAGGCCAGATAGGGGTGCTAAAAGCCTTTGGAGCCTTGCTTCTTGCTGCAGATGCTCATCTGAATGGGCCCCTCTGCCTACTCAGCCCAGTGCCCAACTGCCTGACTGGCTGAAGATGGCTCCACTGGAGCCTTTGGTGTGTGGGTGGAAAGCAATTTTCTCTTTTTAATTTAGGCAGTCATATTCCATCTGCCTGTACACTCTTAACCCACTTTGTGACCTTTGCGAGTGACTTCGCCACACCAGCCATGTCTTACCAACAAAAGAGTTAAGAGCTCTTGAAGAGATGAGCTAAGTGGACCCAAGTGCCTAGTGGGTGCTCTGGAAGTACCACTAAAGGGATCTTCATACAGGCCTGTCCCTCACCGAGCACTTGGCAGAAATTATCCTATCAATTCTCAGAGCAGAGAGGCTAAGTGTGTATTCTCAAGACAACCTTTGTGGTGAGGACACTGAGGTGCAGAGAGAATTATCTTGCCTATGTTTACACTACTAGTTGGATGGACCTCTGTGGACTCACACTCAGGCCCACCTAGTCCAAAGCCTGTGCCCATCTAGCAAGACTGCCCTGGTTTCTGCCCCCTTAGCTTTCTGTGAATGAAAACAGTCGACCAGAGAATATGTTCTTCTGGCGCACAAAACCGGCTTCCTTATTGCTTCTCCAGAGAGGCAGTTTTATGGGAATTCTGGAAGGCTCAACTAATTACTAGTTTCTCTTAATGGTTCTACTTTTTGCTATAGAGCACATACGCCCTCCAGAGAGAGGGAGAGAGGGAAAGTGAAAAATCACTGCCCAGGGAGGATGGCCATGCCAGAGTCCCCTTTTCCATTCTCCTCTTGGGATTCTGGGCATACTTGCACATGTGTCCAGTGTGTTTTTTAAACTGCTAGGTACGGACTCAAACCTCAAAGTCAGCCATGTGGGATCCAGCTCCTTAACCACCATACCACTGGCTGACCCCCTTATTTTCTTAAAGCTCTTTCATCCTGTGTTGTACTTAGAGTACAGCAGTTCTTTAGTGTCAGCACTAAACTGTGTTGTGTTTATATTTTGTACTAAGTTCGAAGGTGTTTCTTAGTTTAATCATGTACTAGGAATTAGAATTTGTTGGTACAAGGTGCGGTGGTGTCTCTGGCAATCTGCCCATTCTCTTTCTCACACATGAGAGGTTGAGTAAGGACAACACAGTGTCAAGGTGCTGGCAAATAGTACCACTCTGTGGGAATTTAGTCTGGTTAGATGCTGTTTTGCCAAGCAGGTTGAACTGAAGGAACACTTCCAGTTCTGAAGTTGAAGCAGTGAGCTCTGGTCTTCCCATTTGAGGCCACATTAGAAACTCCTAATAGTTTTCTGTTTGCCCAACATGCAACCATTTGCATTCCCAGACACTCCCCAAACACAAATACATGCATGTGCACACACAGACGTGAGGGACTTGCTGGTGAAGGTTTAGGAAAATGAGTTGAGATGGTGTTTTATTTCTTTGCTTTTTTTTTTTTTTTTTTTTTAAGTTTTTGCCATAGAGCAAGTGTGCTTACCAGAGACAGTGATAGGCGGCTTGAAAAATCATCCCCCAAGGGGGTTGGCTACACTGTCCTCTTGGGATTTGGGGCATACACTCATGTACCTGGCATGATTTTTCAAGCTGCCAGGCCTGAGACCCAAGCCACGGTTGACCACGTGATAGTCCAGCACCTTGACCACTATGCCATCTGTCGGTCCCCTAACTGTTTTTATTGTCATTTTGGTGTCCAAGTCATATGCCCTTGGGGCTTTAGAGAGGAGAGACCACTGTTCAAGAACAAGTGGTGGTGGGGCCAGCAGGTAGTGTAGTGGATACATATGGTGTAGGACACCCAATGGCCAACCATAGTTCAAGTCCTGGACCCAAGTGACTTGAGATATATGCTGGGCATGTGTGCATGTGTGTCTAAAATCTCAAGAAGAGAGTGGTGAAGAAGAGACTGTGGGGTGGCCATCCTCCCTAAGAGGTGATTTCTCATTTTCTCTCTCTCTGTCTTTCTCTATGTCTCCAGCAAGCAAGCACACACACGCTCCATAGCAAAAATCTCTCTTTAAAAAGCAAAAACAAAACAACAAAACAGTAGCTTCTTGGGAGTGTACCGGAGACAGGAAAGGGGAAGGAATGAGCAACACAGAGAATTAAAGATTGAAAATATTGGGGACTGGACCTATGAAAAGGAAGGAGGTGTGGAGGGTAAATTGTTAGTCACCTCCCTTGGTAGGCTGGCCCTGGGAAGGAGAGGTCTTGGAAGTAGGCTTGAGGCCCTTTGGGCTGGGGATTTAGATAAGAGGTCCCCAGTACCTCATAGATGTTAAGAGAAGGAGCACAGAGACTCCTTGCCCAGAAGGAAGGAGCATAGCCACAGGAGGTCAGGAGGGCTTTATTCTCTGTAAAACATGGAGTCTGTGGCCAGGCCAGGCTGTTCTGACCTCCTAGCAATGCACTCTGGTGCAGGAGTCCATGAAGCTGGGAGGCAGAGAACTGGCTGAGTCTGACAAGCTGTGTGATCTTGGCCTATCTCTCTTTTCTGTACTTCATATATAATCTTTTCATCCTTTCCACCCCTTATGATTCCTGACTTGAGGGCCATCAGCATCCCCCCGATTGTTGCCAGAGGTACCAACAGTGCCCAGGGCTATGCCCTGCTTGGAAGGAAAGCCCAGAGCCTGCCTGTGGTGAGGAGGAAAGGGTCTGGCACAGCTACATGGAGCTCCTGCCTTGCCATGGGGAACAGTGCTGAGATTGGAACCTCACAGGCCAGGGCTACTGAGCTTCAAAGTTTACTCTCTGCCTCGGTGTCTCCAGCCTAAAATAGACCCACAGTATACTCCACAAAGCAACACCCACTCAGTACAGAGACAGCTTCCATTATGACTTGTGAAAACCATTAGGAAAGTGGGTAATAAGAACCTGTAGGTGGAATGAGGAGTGAAAAGAACATCAAACAAGGGAAGTCCTGTCCTGTTGTCCTCGGGCCTTGGTCAGCCATCTTGGCCCAAGTGATCCCCACAAGAGAGGGAGGGAGGGAGGGAGGTTAGGGTTTCCCGACACATCTCTGAAGTCCATTGGATTTTCATGCTTCAGTTTCCTAACCAAGTTTGAAATAATATTTTGGACTGCAATAAAAATACTTTTTCCTTTTCCTTTTTTCACAGAGATGCTGCAATTTGTCAGCAATCAAGTGGGAGAGTTCCCTGACTTGTTTTCAGAGCAGCTGTGTAACTCCTTCCCTGGCAGTGGTGGTGGTGGTGGTGGTGGCGGCGGTGGCAGCAGCGGTGGTGGCAGCGGCAGCAGCGGCAGCAGCGGCAGGGGTAGTGGTGGTGCAGCTGTGGACCCCTCAATGCAGCGGCCTTTCAGCCAGGTCCCTTTATCGTCCTTCTCTCCCTCGGCCGCCTCCCCTCAGGCTCCAGCCCTACAAGTCAAGGTCCCTCCCACCACAGTTCCCACCCCACCACGGGCAACTCCTGTTCTTCAACCCCGTCCCCAACCCCAGCCTCAACCACAAGCTCAGCTGCAGCAACAGACAGTAATGATCACCCCAACATTCAGCACCACTCCCCAGACGAGGATCATCCAGCAGCCTTTGATATACCAGAATGCAGCTACCAGCTTTCAAGGTAATTCAGCAATCAGAGATGGTAATGATTGGTTGGTCCCAAAGTTTGCAGACCCTATGAATAGTTCTGTCTTCTTTGGGAGTGACTGAATATATCAATACGGTCCTCTCTGAATGAGTTTCTGGTAACTGGCAGTAAGGACCAGTGTGGGAACATTTCCCATCTCCACCTTTGGTGCCTATTCAAGAATAATTGATCAGAAACTCTGATAAGCATAGTAGATGCAGGGCTGTCCTGGTAACCAGAGGTGGAGGCTTGAATAAAATTAGATTTGAAAGTGGCCTAGGCAGCAGCCAGAGCTTAGCACCCACAGGTGGAGAACCATCATTCAGCCACCTCTCCTAAGCACCCACTGTGGAGATGGATATGGCTTTTAATGCAGGTGCTTCATCTCTGAGTAGCAGGCCTTGGAGTTGCCCTTTATATGTGTTCACTAAGTAAATGACTGAAGGTGGCTTTTTCTTTTGGGGTGCTGCATCTCAGTGCCTCTCCATTAGCTTTCTCTGACTCTGGGGAGCTCTGGGTGAGATTACTATCACTCTGAATCGCAAAGATGGTTCTTTAATAGGGTTCAAGAATTTGGAGGGAGTGGAGGTAGTATAAAGGCAAAATGCCAAGACAGTCATTCCAGTCTATACTTTCCATCCGGAAAGAATAAGGGGAAATTAAGCCCTGGAAATTGCTGATTCTCCCTTGCTGGGCACAGTCTTTTGTTGATTAGCTTCCCTTATCCCCACCCTAGTACCCAGAGTAATATACCATTTTGTACTCGTTCCCTCAGAAATTGATATAGCCCTTATGGGATGTTCTTGTTATCTAAACCAGCTTGATTTACAAGCTGTGCACATTTTCCTGACCAGCAGGTGAGGAGTTGCAGTTGTTATGAGACACACCCTCAGGTTATTGCTGCAGCTACAGTGACAGGATGCATTCCTCATCCATGCGACTTTTTCTCCTCTTTTCCCAAGTCCTTCAGCCGCAAGTCCAGAGCCTGGTGACGTCCTCCCAGGTTCAGCCAGTCACCATCCAGCAGCAGGTGCAGACGGTACAGGCCCAGCGGGTGCTAACACAGACGGCCAATGGCACGCTGCAGACCCTGGCCCCAGCCACGGTGCAAACAGTTGCTGCACCCCAGGTGCAGCAGGTCCCGGTAAGGTGGCTGGAAAGGATTCAGGGAAGTGCTGGTTGGGCTGTCGACTGGTCCTTGGTTGGATATGTTGCCGGGGTCCGGCCTCGGCAGTGGCCTCCTCATACACAGGAAGGCGACACGGGTGATCAGGAACAGAAATTAGACTGAGACCTCATTGCTCCGTAGTATGTTCTCAGCCGGCCACCGCCAGAGCCAGCTCCAGACCGCCACGCTGTGGCTATTAAAACATGCGTATTTACTGAGGGAGGTTTAGGAAGTAAGGAGAGTGAGGGGTAGTAAAAAATTTACTCTAAGGAACAGGGCATACAAAGCATGGAAGCAATAATTATAAAACATGCTGTTTGTCTTGTCAGATCAGGTAGAATCAATCAGTTCTCAGGATGAGGAAGTCCATTTGTCTGTTGTATCTTCTTCTTAGATCTTGATTACTGGGAAGGGTCTTTTGAAGAGGGGGCTTACAGGATGTTTGATAACTTCAGTCCTGGACCAGTTTGATAACTTTGCTGAATACAAAGACCTAGATAGAAATCTTGTCTTGTTAAATAAAGACACAGTTAATATATGGACTATCTATATATTACACCAATAGAGGGTGAGTCTATGATCTTATATGGGAAAGGAAGATGATCTTGTAGCTCAGGAGACAACACAGGATGTTTTATTAGCAGTTTT